AGCATTGTGCTAAACAGCAGACAGGCAGCCAGGAAACACAAACACTGCTCCTGCCCTCAGGCAGTTTAAAGTCAAAGTGAGAAATCTACTAGTCAAAGACAGTTTCACAGGACAGACTTGATACTCTAGAGACAAAGGCAGAATTCTTGGTCCCCCACCTTCAAGTATAGTATACACTGAAGGTCTTAACACCTTAGAATTTTATTTTTAAAATTGAAGTAAGAACATCAGAAGTTTAAAATGTTAGCTCTTAATTATTTTAAAATTAGAATTCTCTGTTACAAAGAAGAAAGGGCATCAGACGTGAATAATGAGGGATTCTAATTCAGGAGACGAAGTAGGGGAAAAGGAAACCTGGTATTATCCTCCAAAGTGAACAAGAGGCCTCACTTTCAAATATGTGATCTATTTAGGTTTAACAGCTTCGGCTCCCTCCTGCATTACTTTTTGGTTCTGGGAGGCAAGCCTCTCTGCCAGCTCCGAAACATAACTGAAGCCTCTGCTTGACTTCCCAAGGCTGTTTATGGTTCTTCATAAAAATCTGCACCCCGCTTTCCAGTTTCTCTGGGTATGAGCATAAAAGATGAACATATGAGCTTAGGAGACTGGAAAGAGCGGTGCAGATTTTCATGAAGAACATTAAAAATCAAGATGCTGGGTTTCTGTAAATCTTGTTAGCATCTAACACAGAATCTGGTATGTAGTAGTTTTTAAAGAAAGTGATGCTTCACCTTTCTTCTCTTCTGCATTCCCTAAAATGTCTAGCACAGAGCCTGACATGTGGTAGGTAGAAATACATACTCTGATTTGGTAATTATGCATGAAATCCCAGACCTAAGTGTAATCAAGGCTTAAGGGGCCAGTGGTAATGGGAGACACAGGACTGCAGCTGTAGTCACAGAAGAGGCCTCCCAGGCAGCATTCACCCTGAAACACACCCTGAAAGTATGACGACGGACATCACGTTGGCCAAACAATGATCGGAACATAATTCAACTCTGAGCATTATTACAAACCCATCATGCAACTTTAAAATGCCGTAATGAATCAGAGAAAGTTCTGAATCTAGAAGTATTGATTACACGCGCGCGCGCGCGCGCACACACACACACACACACACACACACACAGAGGTTTACGTATGTATGTTAAAACTGTACTGTTATTAACAATGAATATTCTAGAACTGTGCTTTGAATTTGTCTTCAAGGAAACGACATTTTTAAAAGATACTCCAGAAATTGAAACCAGAGGAAAGATAAAAATGTTTACTGAGAACAGGAATGTTTTCATTTCATTATCCTTTTCATTTATCTTAAAATCTATTTTTAAGAAGTGTAGATTCACTAGTAGTGGTCAATTACGTAGGTTACTTGCTATGTTCTACTTTAATCAGAGTGGTCTCCACGAACCAATACCTACTTTTTTCAGGTGTATCAAAAAGGTGGTCACACAAACAAGACAAGTCAGGACCATTTACCCACCTGGCTGAATGGAAAGGTCTGAACATGAAATAAACCAGACGATGGAGCTCCTAACCGCCACATTGATTTAGAGCTGCCTGTCCAAAATGCAAGCACTTTGGAAAAATAAACACAGCAGGCAATGCCTCATCTCCTTTTGCTATCCAGTGTCCTCCAAAAGACTATGAGGGCCTAGGTCACTGGTCCTACTTTCCAAGTCAGTTGGGAAACAGTATTCAAAACGCAGTTCACATTGATAAGCTCAGAAAAAGAGTTTGGTTTTTTTGAAATACAGTCTTCGGTAGCCAGTACTCAGGAGTGACAGAGGCAGCCGGTGGGAGACTCCACTCAGCAAAGGCACATTAGCAAGCTCTGCGAGAGGAAAACGAGGCTGCTTTTAGTCATTTTTTGCCACATGTGCCAAATGATATCTGTTACTTGGACTGGGCATGAGGATTGAACTGACTGGGCAGTGACAATGTGCCAAGCATCTGGACCCAGGTCCTGGCCCCTGACCATCTTCCGCCTGAATCCCTGCAGTACACAGAGGCCTGCAAGGTAACCCTGGAGCCAGCGTTGTCACAACTGCCCCCCTTTTTTCCAAACCAAGCAGCCAACAGACTAGGATACAGCCCCAGATTTATGATCCTGTCTTCAGTTGGAACTCAGGGTCCCTGACCCTGCTGAAGAATTTTTTAAGAGATACAGACACTAGGAAAGAAATATAGGAACAAGGAGGGAAGAAAAGCATAGCTCTGGAGTACTAACGCGATTCGGAATGCATACTTTTTCTTTCTATCTTTTAAAATAGAAATACAGTTGCCAAAGAGAAAGCAGCAATTTAAATGCCAGAAGCAGCAGGCAGAGCTAAGGAAAGAAGTGTTTGAATGATTAATCACACTCACAACACTCTCCCCAACGGGGAGCTCTCATGTGAAGAGTTTAACGGACTTGCCAATTAGTTACTTGTGAATCATCCTCCATTTGCCTAATTTCCCTTCAAAGTTTGTACTCAGCAGTTTGCACTGACTTCAAGATCAACTTATGAAGTTCTGTTTGTAGGGTGAAAAAAAAAGGAAGGAAAACCAGTTCATGCCTTTGCATTTCAGCAACGAAATTGGTCATTTGAGGAAATTTTAAAAACTACCTTTCTTTGCTATACTACAGAACTCAGAATGTAACAGGTTCATTTTGGATCTCATTTGACAATTGATTATGACAAGAAATAGACTTCATTTCAATAATGAATTGAGAAATCTAACAGGTAAGATGCATGGGCCCTCAAAAGTCAGTTTCTGCGAAATGCCAGTGAAATTGTTTTATTAAAACAAAAACCAACCCAACAAAAAAAAGGATGTGGACAGAAAGAGGAACACACTGGTGTTCAGCTTTTCTTAAGGCAGAGGAGATTTTCTTAACACACTGAACGTATCTGCTGTTAATTCCTATTTTAAAAAGTACCTAGTTCATTTTCATATGGCCTCTTTAAATGAAGTAACAGTTCTAAAATGATATAGAATTATTCATTTTAATTCATACAAACTTTTTACTATTCCAATAATTACTTGTTAAAAGTTAACTATTTTTACAGCAGTAAATTTCAAGTCCATAATTGTGATCTAAATTCTCTTAAAAATTAAGCCCCAAGGCCAGGTGCACTGGCTCACGCTCTGGGAGGATGGCTTGAGGCCAAGAGTTTGACACCAGCCTGGGTAATTCAGTGAGACTCCATCTCTACGCCACCCCCCCCCCCAAAAAAAAAACAACAAACCCAAAAATTAGCTGGGCATGGTGGTGCACACCTGTAGTCCTAGCTACTCTGGAGGCTGAGGTGGGAGGATCACTTGAGCCCAGCAGTTTGAGGCTGCAGTGGATTATGATCGCACCTGTACTGTACTCCAGCCTGGGTGACAGAGCAAGACTGACCTTGTCTTGAGAAAAAAAAAGAAATGCTTTAACAGGAGCATTGGCTCCCATGCAGTTTTAATAGCAAATGAGCAACCACAACCTTCCCGTCCCACTAGCCAGCCCTCAGCTCTCCTGTATATACAGACCCTCAGCTCAGGGTCTGGACCTCCCTGCAAACCGCAATCCCAGGACATCGTGAGACAATGTCACTGGCAGCCCAGTCAGCACTGGCTTTTCCAAACATGGCACCTCTCATGCCTGAGAGAGCACGTGAGAAATTCCTGGAACTTTTTGGCAATAGTATGGAGAGGGCAGTGGGAGCACAGATCTTTAGGAAAGCATGCTAACTAAACTCAGTTTGCATCAGGGACCCTATTCTGTAGAGGAAAATACAGGGAAAGTCGTGTCAGTACTCAATTTGTAGTCACCCAGGGTGGCAATGTGTCACTTAACACAGGATAAATTAAGATCTTAAACTGAGGGCAAATTAGAGAAAGTGTTTACTAGATTTCAAGGGACTTACTAAGTCAGTACAGGTTGAGCATCCCTTATCTGAAATGCCTGGAGCCTGTTGCACTTCAGATTTTTTCCAGATTTCAGAATATTTGCATAGATAATGAAATATCTTAGGGATGGGACCCAAGTTGGAACACAAAATTTATCTATTTCATATACATCTTATACACACAACCTAAAGGTAATTTTATACAATATTTTAAATAACTGTGCCTATGAAACAAAGACTGTGTTGAGCACTTAACTGTGAAATTCTCCACTTGTGGCATCATGTTGATGATCAGAAAATGTTGGATTTTGAAGCTTTTGGGATTTCAGATTTTCTGATCGGGATGCACAACCTGCTCCTTAGATTTTCGCTTTAAAAAAAATCCTTAGCATTTAATTTGGCTTGCTATATGAAACTTGGGTAACCAATATCAAGCCCTTTCTTAGAAAAAAAATGATCATGACCCAACAGTTATTTAAAAAGTTAAAATAGATGTTTAAAAGTTCAAATGAAGAACCAGGCCCGTGTATGGAGGAGGGCAGCAGTGCACATTTTTATGTGGTGGGAACCAAGAGGAAGAGGAAGACGCACCACAGAGCACGCCCAGGATGTTGGGTTCCTGGTGCTGACCACAGTGCTATGGTCACTCCACAGTCCAGCACTGCAGTGCAAAAAGGGTGGCTGCTGACAAAAATGCTGCAGCCAGAGTCTGACCAACTTGAAAAGCAGCAAACAGCAAGATGATGATTCCTGAGAGTCCTAAGTAGCCTCTACAAAGTCAGAAACCATGCACACTCACACGGGCTACTGACATGTCTGACAGCAGAAATTAGTAAGCAGCTCTGCTAGCAGAGCCTTTCTACCTGGAAATGAGAGTATTCTATAAAACCCTCACATGCTTAATCTCCTTCCAAAGAACAATAATTTATTTTCTTACTGAGTTTTATACCGAAATCATATGTATAGAGGTCGCCAGTCAAGAGAAGACTTTACTTCAGAATGAACATTAAAAACTTCTTACACAAAATGAAAATTACTATTATATAGTTACTTCCTAATTTACAGAGCAGAAAGCATGGCAAAACCCATTTCCTACTGGAAGCCAATGTTACAAAAGCAACTCACCTGGAAATCTTGATCATCAATTCCAAACCTCTCCCGCAGGTTACGGAAGACCATCGGGCAGTATTCCTTAAACTTGAAATGGCTCGGCATGTTTTCTCTGAAACAGTCACAGTGTGGAATAAAGCTCAGAGAGAGTCAACCAGACTTGCATCTGCCACCATTGAGTTCCATATGTAGCCAAAGAAGGGTCTGGAGTTTCCTGTCTACCAAAGGGACAGGAGTGCTTCCTAGAACCACGTACGACCCACAAGAAGATTTGGGAGCCACAAGGGGCCAGAGGGATAACGTCTGTCTCCTTTGTCACAGGCATGCTTGGACTATGTGACCTCTTGAAATCCTGGCCACACACTGCAGCCATTCCTCAAAGAACAAGAGGTGGGGAAGGAAGGGGCCAGGCAGGGGAGCAGTGAAGGCAAAGCACAGTGGTGGGAGAGTGAGTGAGAAGGGGCAGCGGAGTAAGCCACCAGTGTGGCCCCCAGGTTCACTGTCAGCTACTGCCAAGGAAAGCAGGGCCACTCCCTCACCCACCAAAAGGCCTATTTTTTATCAACGCCACTTTCTAAATTTGCACAGAGAAAATTCTCTCAAAAAGTCAGCCTCTCAACACTATTACGAGAAAAATTACCACATCAGCTTCACGTGAGGGCAACGGCCCCCCTAAGAAATTTCAAAATTGGCCAGGCATGGTATCTTCTTACACCGTTCATTTGTAATCCCAGCACTTTGGGAGACTGAGGTAGGAGGATTGCTTGAGGCCAGGAGTTTGAGACCAGCCTAGGAAACATAGTGAGATCTCTATCTTTACAAAAAGTTTTTTAAAAAAATCAGCTGGACATGGTAACCTGTATCTGTAGTCCCAGCTACTCAGAAGGCTCAGAGAGGACTGCTTGAGCCCAGGAATTTCAGACTGTAGTGAGCTCTAACTTTGCCACTGCACACCAACCCAGGCAACAGAGCAAGATTCTGTCTCAAAAAAAAATTTCCTAATGATCCTCACGTGGAAATGATTTCTTTGAGGCTCACCCTAATCATTCAGAATTGCTTCCCTCTTTGTGTTCCCACAGAACCAGCTATGCATATAAATTATACACATGCATACACCCCTCCCTTGTACTTTGCACACTGAACTATAGCAATTTGTATGTGTCAGTTTTTGTACTGTGAGCCCCTTGAGGGCAGGGCGATGCCTTACATATAATCGCATCTCCAGCTCTCAATGGACCACCTAACATATAATAGGTGCTTCATAGTGACGTCTAAAATGACATTCAGATGAAGGAGAAATGTTCTCAATGCCCAACATGGTATCTAATTGTGCCTTACGAAAATGTACCTTCAGTCTTTATTGTTCTATGATGTAGTCATTGCTGTTCATAAATCATCCTTTTCAAAGTTCTGTATACAAGAGCAGAGGTTCATAACTGCTCAAAAATCCAAGCAATTTACAGCTTCAAAAATTTGAATTATAATGAGAATATCACTTTCAACATATAAGATATTCATAGAGAACAATATGCCATATGGCAAAGGATATTATCCCAGAGAGCCTGCTGTTGCTTCTCTAAAAATGACAGATGGTTATGTTTATCACAGGATTAACTTCATCAGCAAAACTTTACTCCCACCCATTGAAAAATTACATGATTACAGAAATTCACAAAACTTGTACTCCTAGCAGCCACACCGGTCTTATGAAAGGTCGTACTTGTACTTACTTGTTAAAAAGATGATTGTCCACCTTTATTTTTGAATAGGCTTTGAAGTCATCTGGCATCAACATAACAGGGATTTGAACATGGCTCAGTTCATTGATCTAGAAAAATATAAAATAAATAGCATGGGTTATTACTACCCAGGTGAGGAGGACTTGACTTGAATGTGTACCTGGGGGAAAAAAACATGGTGGACACAGGAATTTCCCTTCCCTCCCACCCACCTTCCTTCCCTCTCTCATCATAATCTCTCTTCCTGCCTTCCTCATTCTCACTTCTTCGGTCTGTTTGACGCTGGGTCTATGGTGGCCCCTGGATGACAGTGGTGAGGGAGAAACAGTGGAGACTCAATCCTCATGTCACCTGTCCCTGCTTCTTGCCCACCCACTCTGCCTGCTTCCTGCCCACCCACTCTCCCTACTTTCCCTCCAGAACCTCATCCTACAGCCCCTTTGATCATATGTCCAGGACAACTTCCCTCTGTAAAGAAAATGTTATCTGAGAAAGAAAGCTTTTAAATTTTTCATGTAAATATGTTGGATTAATGGACGTGATTTATATTTTTGGACTCCAAGAAGAACCCTCATCTATGCGCTCTTACTTCCCTTACAGGAACGTTTAAAACTAAAGATTAGGGTGGGGCATGAATTTACCAAAAGAAGAGCCTCCATTCAGGGAAGGAGGAAGACAGGCGGCCCAGGACTACATGAGAAGGAGGTATGTTGGACAGGAGTCAAGAACAAAAGCAAAGATGTGCTTCCAAAGGACAAAGGGTAAGATCAAGTTCCAGTGAATGACAGGGATGGCTCTGCACACATGATTTTGAAAAACCTGAACTTTCTCTTGGTTAATTATTTTTGCATGTTGACGTTCCTGGTTGCTGGCAATAAAAACTATGTCAAAGATTTATGCTTCCAGTAGGATAGAAGGTAGGTAAGCTGAAGGATTCTCAGTTACAAAAACAAAACAAGCAAACAACAAAATAATAAGCTGCTTGATAGAGCAGAGTTTTGTCTTGTTTTGTTTTTTAATCACATTGCCGTGTTCACAGATGGTAGAGGGAATCTCCAAGACACCTTTCTTCCCCCAAAGTGAGTTTAATCCACAGGGAGTGTGGGGACCATTAAGCACGCCTGAAAAGAGGGACTCCCTGGGGACAAATGCCAATTTCAACACTTACCTCGGCCAAAGGAAGGCTGGGAGCTCAACCAAAGGCTTCAATATTAACCTGAGATCCTTGAAGGAAGCCTTTCAAAGTGGTCCCAACATCAGTGATCTCCTCCAGAGATCATCTGTGAAAGTAAATGCAAATGATCTCGGGAGGAGAGCGCCCCCTGCCAGGCCTCCAGGTTTCCCACAGATGGAGGTCAACCAAACATGAGCTCACAGAGATAGCAACGACTCATTACTATTTTCAAGGTTTTAGCTACTAAGATGATCAGGTAACAAATTTTTAAGCTGTGAGAAATGTATAGAGAAATAGAAGATGAACAAAAGATGATTATATTTGAAGAGATAATGATGATTCAGAATTTCCACAACTGATTCAAGTTATAAAAATGTAGATACAGTTGAGCACAGTGGTTCACATCTGTAATCCCAGCAACTTGGGAGGCTGATGCAGGAGGACCGCTTGAACCCAGGAGTTTGAGACCAGCCAGGGCAGCATAGTGAGACCTTGTCTCTAAAAACTAACAAAAATTAGCCAGGTGAGGTGGTGTGCGCCTGTAGTTCCAGCTACTTGGGACACTGAGGCTGGAGGATCACTTGAACCCAGGAGTTCGAGGCTGCAGTGAGCTGTGATTATACCACTGCATCCCAGGCTGGGTGACGGAGTGGAGCCATGTCTGTTAAACAACAACAACAAAAAAACACCAAAAAAACCCCAAAAAAACATGGACACAGAATATTCAAAGCAATATATACCTAAGAATATTTAAAGCACACATAGATTATGCTGTAAACTAAAGAAGGCCAAATGCAAAGAGAAGAAAGGATTGGTAGCCAGAGAGAAAAGGCAGAACACAATGGAGGGATGAGAGCGACAGCTGACAGCTAGCTTCTCAAAGTCACTGAACAAAAACAGGCTTCTAACGTCATGTAACTTCTCCGGTTCACTTTACTCAAGTGCCTTTGGATACTAAGTTATTCCCAGAGTATATCCGTGAAAAATTAAAATTTATGTATCGTTATGCTATCCGTGGAATATCAAAGTTTGAAAAATAACAGAAAATCATAATGGAAATCCAAGTCCTGCAATAATAAACACAATGCGAATGAAGTTGGATGCCAACTCAATCAGCACTTCAATATCTTGTGGAACAAGAGAAAACAAAACCCAACTTAGAGTGTGACTGGACACTGATTATTTAAAAGCACGTGATGTATTCAGGAGATCCTCCAAGGCCTTGATGCCTCTTCACGCTGCTGAAATCAGTATCACTTGACAGGATCTTCTTAGAAAGGAAGCAGGAAGCCAGAAACTTTTGAATCCTTTTGCTTTCCGGTGCCTGCTCTGGAACATGTTTTATGGAGAAAATATGACAACTTCAGCCAACGTGGAAAGAGTAAACTGAGAATTTTCCTTATTGATTTTCCTTCCTCACCTGTCCTTGCATCAGCACACCTTTGAGAGTTCACTCTGTGCTGGGCACAGCTCGGACACCAGTCTTTGTCCTCTTGGGGCTTATGGATCACAGGGGCAGACACATTAACTGAAGAACTGTACCAAGTGTAGAACTCTAACAATGACAGAATCAGGAGGGAGAAGCACATCAGGCCATGAGCAAGCATGGAAAAGGCCTGGGCCATGTGTGGGAGGCATGCGAGGCTTCCCTGGGCAGCAATGGCTCTCGGAGAAAGGTGAGGGCAGGTGGAGGGAGCTTCCAGGAAGAAGGCGGGCCCTGGATTGGAGGTGGCACTGTTAATGAGAAAACAGTGCAGAAATAGATAAGGCAGGTGGCATGAGAGGGATGAATAGCAGGGCCAGGAACACCAGGAAGCGGCTACTGTAGAATTGTACAAGACAGAGGAGAGCAGCTCAGCAGAGGGAGGAGGAGGCAGCAGAGGCGAAGGAAGCAGTCCAGCATGCTGAAGTGGTGAAATCTGTGGGGCTTGATGACAGACTAGAAATGCAGAGAAGATGGAGGGAGTGCTGCATGCATGACAGAGGAGCTGGCGAGTCCACTGACTGGCGCAGTGCTTTTTAAGAGAAGAGTTCAGTTTTGAGCTTGCTACATTTCATGTGCTCTTGGGATATCTAAGCGTCAGTGTCAGGTCGGCTGTGGACAGGTGGGTCCAAGGTTCCCAGGAACAGCAGGGGCAGGAGATAAAAACGTGTGTATCCATGCATCAGACATTAGCTCCCCAGAAGAGTGAACGAGGTAACCTGGGGAGGGGACAGAGTGATGGGGAGGAGGGCAGAGAAGCAGTCTTCAAGAACAGGAGCATTTCACAGCCTGGAGGAGAGGATGAGAAAGGGGAAAACTGCTATGGAGGCAGGAAGTGAAAAAGCACAGGGCCACCCAATGGGAGTGCAGGGAAAAAGGGGTTCAAACATGCTATGGGATGAACATGAAGCTTTTCAGAAGGTAGGAACTAGGAACTGTCAGCTGGATTGAGCAGCACGGGAGGTTCTTGGCAACCTTGGCAGAGATGTTTTGGTGAAGCGTAGCAATGGAACCCAGACTAAGCTAAGATGAGGTAAGGAAATGCCAGCACTGCACATGGCTGGTTTCTAAGGAGCCTGGAAGGGAAGGAGAGGAGCAAGATGAAGAGGGATGAGGGACAGAGGGAGGACCTGAGCGAGAAGGGATATTCCTGAGCACTTCTTGAGAAGGTGGGAGGGAAGGGGATCCAAGCACAGGAAGAACAGGCTCTGGGGATGGTGGTGACTTTCCTATTCACAGGAGAAAAAGGAGACAGGTGTCACTGGGAAAAGGTAGAACTGACTGAGGGAAGACAGGGGCTCCCATCCACTGGCTCCCATTTTCTCTGCGAAGTAGGTCCATGGCTAACTACCTGCTGAGAGGGAGAGGCAGGTTGAGGACTTCAAAGGTTAAAGAGAACACAGAGAGCTAAAAAAGGGGACTGCAGAATGTGGATGGACAAGTTTAAAGAGAGACAGGAGGCTGGGCTTCTGGGCAGAGCTGAGAGCCATCTACAGTTTCTGATGGTTCACATACAGGAAGCAAGCAAACTTGTGGAGTGACATTCCTCATTCTGGCAGCGCTCAACCCGACCCCAGGGTGCAGGTGCAGAGACAGAGGATGACAGGGGTCCTTCAGGATGGAGGTGTTTGCTGGCTGAGTGTGACATAAAGGGGAAAGGAGTTCCAGGATGATACTTGGAGATGGAAAGTCAGCGCAAAACAAGATCCCTGACCATAAGGAGTTTTCCACAGTAGCCGACAGGGGAGGACCTTCACACATGGTAAAATGCCAAGCAGCAGAGAAGAAAGGCTGAATCCAGACAAGTGCCACAGGAGCACAGAGCAGGAGCCCGCAGCCACAGGTGCGCATAAAGGGCTTCTTGGAAGGAGTGCTGCCCTACGTGGCCCTTGAGGAATGGAGAGTTATGACTACTGTGTCATTTAAACGGCAGGGAAACACAAACTCTTAGCTAGTCCCCATCTTCCAAAACCAGACTACCCCAAGAGGTAGAGAATGTCTGGTCCTAATTATCAAACAAGACAAGAAATGAGACAAGAAGAAAAATCAAAGATAGTTACACTTAACAACTTCATTTACGTGTTATCATAAGATGCTGAAATTAAAAGAATTTCGGAGATTGTATAGTCTAACCTCTCATTTTGCAGACCGCAGTATGTCCTGGTAGAGCAGCACTTACACCTTCATAACTGAGTAGTGGGGCAGGATACTGGGTCAGCTCTGATAGCTACTTCATGGATACTTTATCTTTCATTCACACATGCGTCACATTGCTTTTGGCTTTATTTCCCCTCCAGATTCCCCCCAAAAAAACTTCTTGGTCAGATGGTAGCTAGATTTAATGACCTGTGAACAATTACTTCAAAAAAAGAGGATCTACTACTTAAAAGAGTTTTTAACTGGTAAGCTATTCTTTCAGTAGTATACCTAGG